TAAAATAAAAACATAAAATATTTTGTTCTGATAATAAAACAATAATGATTCTAACATTTATTCAAATTTTAATTACGGACATTTAAAATATATTCATAATTTGAAGTTGTCTTAAATTTAAAAATGTTTAAATTAATCTATTGTTTTAGTTGTGAACTTATCTTATAATATTTTAATATAAAAGCAACATTTCTCTTACTGATATAAAAAAATAATAAAAATATAATTTTTGTTATGAAAATCTAACRTACTCATTTTAGTACAGACTTGAAAACTGTTGATGAAAACTAATGAGTAATAACAAACTAATAATTTGAAATATGTATATTCAAAACCAAAACTTTTTCAATATTTAATAATTTTTGATTGAAATTGTAATATGTTATAATATTAATGTTTTTTTTTTTTTTAGAAACTTGTTGGACTGTGATGTGTTTTCAAAATCTGATCCAATGTGTGTTGTGTTTATGAAAACACCAGAAACTACCAAATGGGTTGAAATTTGTCGTACGGAGTGTATTAATAATTCTCTTAACCCTAATTTTGTTACAAAAGTAATATAACTTTTAATAACAAAAAATTTAAATAATAATACCTTATTCTGTACTTWTTTCTAGGTTCATGTCTTGTATCGTTTTGAAGTTCAGCAATTAATAAAATTTGAAGTATATGATGTAGATTCTAACTTGCATGATTTGAAATCTCAAGATTTTTTGGGATCATGTGAAACCACTCTTGGACATGTAATATTCTAATTTAATTAATCATTAAATATCATACTTATCTTTCTTTATTTAGATTGTGTCTTCAGTAACACTTGCATTACCTTTGAAAGGAGTTAAAACTAATAACAAAGGTCAAGTGATTGTAAAAGCAGAAGAACTCCCGGCATGTCACGATGAAGTAACTTTACAGTTTAATGGAAAAGATTTAGAACGAAGTGATTGGGTATCAAAGTATGTATATATATATATATATTAAATTATGAATTTAATGTTTATTTGTACTTATTTACTACTTTTTCAGATTTTTTTCTTGGATTGCTAAAGCTTATCCATTTTTAGAATTGTTTAAAGTTGGCGAAGATGGACAGTATCAATTAGTATTTAGAACTGAAGTTGTTAATTGGACAAACAATCCTTCTTGGAAACCAATAACTTTACCTGTTCGGTCTTTGTGTGGCACTGATTTTGATAGAGACATTAAAGTAGTATGTTATCATTTCAAATATAATGGAAATCATTCATTAATAGGTAAATTTTGTTTTTATTAATATTAATATTAAGTAAGACCCTATTAAGCTTATAATTAAAATTTTTGTTTATTTTATTAAATGTGTAAACAATTTTAATTACCTTAAAATCTTGATGATTTCTAAATTTCATTATAGTAATAACTGCAGCTTTTCTGGATATTTTAACTCCTCTTACCATTGATAGTCAATTAATTATTTTTGACAAAACTAAAGAATAGAATAATACCCAAATTATTTTTATATATTTTTTATCTTGCATCTAAACATTTGTAATCAAGTATAATATTGCAGGAGAATTTCATGTTACAATGAATCAATTGAAAAAAGGCCCTGG